ACGGTGTGAAGGAGCGACGTCAGCGGTGCGAGTTCAAGTTGAGACGTCTCCACGTGGGGTCTCCTCGTGATGGGAGCCCCACGGTGTCCGCGTCTCTGCCGCTCGGGGCTGCGCTGCCACCCGGCGTGGGGAGCGGTGGCGCAGCGGTTAGCGGCACGCTGCGCTACGAACTCGGGCCCGACCGAGTTGGATTCCTGCTCACGGCCGCCAACGCCGGTGATGAATGATCTGAACAACCGGTCCTGGGCATCCCCTAGATCGACTCGGCCTCAAATGTGTACCTGGTGTGGTGTGTATTAAACATCACCACTAGGGAGACAAAGGCGGCCGGGAATGGTGCAAGCCTCCTACCCCCTCGTGTGCCACAGTGTTGGCCTTCACAGGTGCTGCTACTCACTAACAGCACTTGACCCAACAGTCTGCTAAGGCTACACGGGGGATATTTGTCGTTGTCTCCGCTAGTCAGGGCTCTGCTGCTATCGAGTAATACAAGAAGATCGATGTAAGTTGTTTTTACTGGCTTAAATGTGAACAGCTGATTAATGCGATGCCGGTTGCTATGGAGACGCGCGACACAGTCACTATGCATGGGGACGTGCGTGGTGACGTCACAATGCACAACACGTGACAATCAGTGACTAATTCAGCACAAACCGGTTGTGTGCTGGAGAGTGAACCCACTACAACGTTGACGATTTGAGTTCTGTGACGTCTCGCTGGTGACTACAACAACAATCAGCTGCATCGGTCGATTTACCAGGCAAGGCCCACTGAGCTATGCGGCTCTTTTATAGTTCTACTCACAGAAGCGACCTCGCCTCACGTGACGACAGCTCAATGACGTGGCTTATCACGTAGAAATGTATAGCAGTCAAATTCTCACAATTCTAAATGTGGAGGAAAAACCGGAAAAAATCCACGCGACCACGGGGAAAGAGAGAGACACGGAAACTCCAAATATACAGCAGGCGTCAGGGTTGGGATCGAACCCACGACCTCTTGTACACCAGGCGAGGTAGTTAACATCTCCTTGCCACCGTGGCGCTTTGATGTGGAATGATGCTCTGAGCCTCGTGTCAGTGTCTTGTGCACCAACATACTTTACATCCTAGTGTCACTTTTTAGTTGGCTGTTGGTATCCTGAAGATCATAAAATATGAAGGAGGAGGAGGGAGCAGGTGGAGGGGGAGGACAGGGAGGGGGGAAGAAGGGTGGAGGGGCGGAGGAGGGGGAGGGGAGGAGGAGGGGGTAGGAGGAGGCGGTGGCGTAGGAGGAGGGGGAGGAGGAGGGAGGAGGTGGAGGAGGGACGAGAAGGGGGTGAGACACTCTGTAAGTGTAGCGATGGCAGTGGAATGCAATCGCTGAGCACGCTTCACAAGCATCTTGATAAACACCGAGCGTTGGAACCCGGCTTATGAGGAAGCCTTTTGAAGGCGAGGGTCACGCTAGGGGCTGCGAGGTGGCCAGATGGCGCTACATGGAGCAGGTTCGTGACACCCTCCTTGACGCTCCTCGCATTCGTCTCCGTAACGCTCCCTGCGGTCGCGACACTGAGACGACGTCGTGGGCAGTAGGGGGCAGTGCAGCGACATCCGTGGCTGCCCTGCGCTGTGATAGTCTCTCAACGTCTGTCCACGTATCCCGTCTTCACAACCCGCGCATGGCAGAGTGGCAAAATACGGTCAAAGAACTCCCATAACCGGCACGGCATGGAGCAGCCTCTGTCCGTGTGCGTATCTACGTACGTGTGTTGAACTTCTTTCGCACCGTACATCGCCAACCATGCTAATGGGAAGTGTGTGAGTCCAGGAGTGGGTTGACAATAAAAACAACAACAAGAACGATTATTTCAACTTGTAGCACGCTGCACGGTAAGTCGCTCGCTCTCGTGCAGAGAGGACGACCTCAGAGGCGCCAGGAGGAAATCCACAGACGTGGAGGGGGGTAGGCAGCAGCCAGGCGGCGAGGAGCCGGCGCCACCAATGATTGCCCCAAATTCTGCGCTCCTCCTCTGCAAATGAAAGTGGCGTCTGGCAAGTTTTTACTAGGGGCTTAAACATTTCTGGGAGGACAGAGAACTCAGATTGACGGAGGTGAGGGTGGGGAAGGTAGGAGGGAGGGGGGATTGAGGGTGGGAGTGGAGAGAGTGGAGAGAGGGAGGGAGTGGAGTGGAGGGAAGGACGGAGAGAAGGAGGTAGTGAAAGGTGTTGAGGGAGGGAGAGAGGGGAGACACTCTATCCCACACAGACAGAATAGATCTCCATTCCGAGGGGCCGGTGGCCGGTCTTGTGTAGGGAATGTGATCAGAGTAAAATATATAAATTAATTTTAAATTATTTGGTAATTAAAATATTTTATCATCACCAATGTGCACGCTCAATTGCTTATTAACGCTCTCAGTTGTCAGAAAGTCCCCATCCATTAATTCCGCATTACCCAAAGATTCTTCCTCACTGCCCCCCCTCCATTGTGTTTTTTTTTTGACCCAGCCCCAAGCGTCCCAATTGAGGATCACGCAGAAACATCACACCAGCACCACGGTGCGTCACGTGGCACCATCTAGCTACTACCACTACCACACCGCTGTCATCACACCAGCACCACGATGCGTCACGTGGCACCATCTAGCTACTACCACTACCATACCGCTGTCATCACACCAGCACCACGGTGCGTCACGTGGCACCATCTAGCTACTACCACTACCACACCGCTGTCATCACATCAGCACCACGGTGCGTCACGTGACACAGTCTAGCTACTACCACTACCACACCGCTGTCATCACACCAGCACCACGGTGTGTCACGTGGCACCGTCTAGCTACTACTACTACCACACCGCTGTCATGACACCAGCACCACGGTGTGTCACGTGGTACCGTCTAGCTACTACCACTACCACACCGCTGTCATCGCACCAGCACCGCAGTGTGTCACGTGGCACTGTCTAGCTACTACAACTACCACACCGCTGTCATCGCACCAGCACCACGGTGCGTCACGTGGCACCGTCTAGATATTACCACTACCACACCGCTGTCATCGCACCAGCACCACGGTGCGTCACGTTGCTCCGTCTAGCTACTACCACTACCACACCGCTGCCATTACACCAGCACCCTGGTACGTCACGTGACACCGTCTAGCTACTACCACTACCACACCGCTGTGATCGCACCAGCACCATGGTGCTTCACGTGGCACCGTCTAGCTACTACCACTACCACACTGTTGTATATATGCCCCCTTTTCCATCTTAATATTAACAAGTTATTTTCTGATACATATAGATACATATTTCTATTGTTTTTATTTTATTTTAATAATGAATAAAACAGTCCCAAGACCTCTGCAACAGCATGTGCAGGTCAAATTAAATAAATAATAACTCCCAGGGTCAGAGGTCACCAACCAAAAGCTGGACATCGAATTCCACGAGACTGAGGTGAACACCCGAAGGCCAGGCCATTATCACAGGCTGTGTGCAAGGGGGGAGCGAATTTAAACAACCGCACGTCTGAGCGTGAAAAGGCCGTTGACCTGACATTAAGAATAATAACTCCCAGAGCAGAGGGTGGGATGGCCATGTTGAGACAAGAATAAGAGTGTTGTATATCTCTCAAGGACGCAGACTCAGCTGAACAGCACAAAGCTGCGGGGTTGACGTAAGCGGAGCCTAGGGTCACCAAATTTTCGCGTTAGCCGAGACATAGTTAAGTCAGAAAGCTAATTTATTCTGTATTTCTATTAAAGTAATGTTAACGTCGCAAGTTAACAACAGGGTAGGCTAAAGTATTGATCTTCACACCCACTCCAATTAAACCAGGCCACAAGCTACGTTCGTGAACCATCACCCATCTATTGATTCAATATTAAATGTTATTTCCATATTTTAATAATTTTTGTACAACTTTACCCGAAGCATATGACAGTCAGAATTTTCCTAAGTCAAAATGAATGTTCTAACCTCCAGACATACGCGAATAATAAACAGAGTTAATATAAGGTTAGAGAGGAAAAAAACAAGCGCACAGCAAAACTGCAACGTAAGCTAAAAGAGCCTGGCAACAACGGGCGGGTAGAGAAAATGAGGGCAAAGGGTGGCAGACACCGCGCGAGCAGAAATAAGCGAGGGGGGAAGAGATGCTTGGAATGCCCGCATGTCAGTGACAAACCAGGCACAGTTAATTAAAATTCACAATACATTTTTCATCCATAACATTCATGTTGGCGCTATTCACCGTGAACTATACTAAGCTTACACTAACAAAAACTGCATCATGACTTGGGCGATGTTAAACCCAGGATCGGAGAGGAAGGGAGATCCCGGCCGTCTTTGTCTCCCCACAGCGCGGGATAGGAGTGTGTATACGCTCGGGAAAACACCTTCCCTTGACATAAAGTCAAACACCACAACGGAGAGCTGACACAGACTTTGGGGTTACATACCAAACCATAACTGTGGAACGGTGGTGAAATGAATTGTTAACTTAAAACTGTTTAACCATTCCCTTGTGTGTCAGGGACATGATGCAGGGAGGGAAGCTTGCCCTCCCTCTCGCACCAGCAGACAGAGAGGCAGACCGAGAGACGCCTTCGAGACAATTGGTAATGTCTGGTTGTTTTACTTTTTGATGGTTATGGAAGGAGGAGGACAGCGGTATAGGCCGTGGGTGACACACAAGGACACACACTGAAACACGTATGGACACACACATACGGACAGATGATGACACTGCAAAATCGGAAGAAGCTCCGCCTTGTGGGCAGGATCCAATTGAAGGGATTTTTGGCATAAAGAGAGGACCCCGCAGCATTGACTCATCAGTTCGACCTGCGGTTCGGCTTAGGAACGAGCTGTGACCGGCGGGTCAGCTCGACTCATCAGTTCGACCGGGGGGTCGGCACACCAGAGAGTTCGACCTGCGGGTCGGCACAGGAGCGAGCTGCGACCGGCGGGTCAGCTCGACTCTGCTACGACCTCGTAATCAGCAAGGGCTAAGAGAAGCTCGGCTCATCAGCCAGAGGGGCTTCTACCAGCTCGGCATCTGCCAGCAGGGCAGAGAGCGCGATCAGCCACAGAGCGTCGTCAGCCACAGAGCGCCATCAGCCACAGAGCTCCATCAACCACAGAGCGTCGTCATCCACAGAGCGTCGTCAGTCACAGAGTGTCGTCAGCCACAGAGCGCCAGTCAGCCACAGAGCGTCGTCAGTCACAGAGTGTCGTCAGCCACGGAGCGCCGTCAGCCACAGAGAGCCGTCAGCCACAGAGCGTCGTCAGCCACCAGAGAGCAGCACAGCCATCCAGCAGTGAAGAGAATCTGCTGCCTGCGGCTTCCCGTGCTGCGCATATTCGAGCTGCACCAGGAGTTGGCAGCCTGCCAACTCTCCCACCCAGCCGTGGACAGAGGCTGGCCGCCGTGTGGAGGAGTGCCGGTTATCCGTATGATGCACACCCCCACGCACCCTCACCGCTCTAAAGGGAGCGAGTATACTTTTCATTTTTCGATTAATACAAGGATGCCCCACGTCGGCGTATGTTAATGCAAGAAGACCAACCACACTCACACATTACCCTATAAAAAGAACTCAACGATATGATGATGCGCTATGCCCCCCACTACTCGACCAATCCGACGTCTGCTTAACGCAAATAATTAATTCCGAACACTGACTACTCCATACATTTCATGACATAAACACACTCAAGTCTGTAAAACGTACTGACTGTGAAGGCATCACAACGAGACCGAGTGATAACCATCCGTCGCTTATAAGTATATTCGTAATATTTCCTCCTTAATATTTTGTTTTGGACTGTACTTCTAATCGCATAAGTTACCAACCGATCCATCAATACGAATTAATCCTTGGCACCTTCGCCACGGAGCTACACTCCCGGGGAGGAATCGTGCTAAACCGATTTTCTGATCATACAATCTTGTTCACGAATAAATTAATCTCCCGCACGTCCCGCCGCACACCCTCACACTAAGCCATTTTGGTAATCCTATAATCTGTTCGGTGGATCTGTTGTTACATTTATTGCATAGTTAATGACGACACGAAGGCAGATGTTGTCGGGGCTGACGCCAACAATTTATTAAGGGCTGTCGCCTAGCTTTTAGGGAAGGGCTAACACAAGACTTGGGTAAGCTAAATCTCCCCAGGGGAAAGGGTAGTGGGAATCCCTACGACTCCCAGGCTAACGGGCTCTTCCCACAGCGCTGACTGATGGGTTATCCAACTCGGCCAGCCGGGTGAAGTAGCCCCCCTAGCCTGGAGCTAGTTGTCCCCTACCCTGGGTCCCCACTTCCCTACCGCTCACGAACCCGGCTCCTGGTGAAGACCCCCTCTACGTCACTGGTCCCCCCTCAAATACCCCGAGGGGACATGACATCACTCCTCCCAAAGCGAGTGTGACATTCCGTCATCCCTCTACTCCTCAACATCACCCCCCCCCCCCCCCGTGAAAAAAAAGTCAGCCGACCCGGCTGCAACTACTCTGTGAGCGGTGCCCCCCCTCCCCTTTCGGGAAGCCACGATAACACCACAAACGCAACACAACGAATGCAACCCCCCGAACGTAGAAGCTTGACCGGCTGCTAGAAACTGAACATTAGGGCACGGCGGCACAAGCCAAAGTCCAGGAATAGATGCCACCTGGAACGGCAAGTGGCGATAAGGGCGGGAGGGAAGAGGACGGCATCGCCATCCTTCAGCGTATGCGCCTGCCCCGCGCGCGTGTGCCTGCCGCCTGTCCACTCCCTCGCGCGGCGGCAGCCGCCGAAGCCAGCATTGCACCGTCCCGCCACGGCCCAGATGGACCCTGGCCAGGACAAGGCGCCGTAGGTGACGCCGCCGGCGGCGGTGCAGCCGGCGCCTCCACCATCGGCCCTATGCCCCCCCGCGGCGTCCGTTTCCGCAACTCGGCGGCATCAACGGCGATAGCTCTGAGGACACACAGAAGGGCAAGGCAATAGTAACATCCACCCCGCCCCCAGGACCCGGCCCGTCGGACGCATCTTACCGCCGGCCGCCCCGGAATTGGGCATGAATCAGGGAAAGCGGGCGGCGCCACCCGCTTGAGCCGCGCTGGGTGCACGGTCCAGTGACGCCGGCCCCACCGGATGCAGACACACTGAGGCCGACGGACACCCCACTACCTCGACAGGGCCCTGCCATGGCCGATGTAGTTTAGGGGACGTGCCTACCGGCACCTGAGGGCAGTGCAGTCACGCCAACTGGCCCATTTTCCATGGCAACCCAAAGGCCTGATGTTTAGGCAAGCGCTCTGTGGCCGCCTGGCTGAATTTTCTAAAGCTGCCTGCCGCGCTTCGCACAGCCAATCCAGCGCGATTTTCATTGGAAGGGGAATGGACGACCCCTTCTTGACTGTGCCGAGGTCCAATTGAACGAGCACCGGGGGCTCGGGCTCCCTCCCGTACATAAGAAAAAAGGGGGAGAACCCCTTCGAGGCATGAGGAGCCAGTCTTTACACGGCCAACACCCCCGGGATGAACAGGTCCCAGTCCGATTCGGACTGGGGATGGTAGGGCGAGGTGTGGACTTTCTTCGTCCCAAGGAGGTCACAGACCTCCTTGAGTAAACGGGAAGAAAAATTCCGCCCCTGATCAGTTAAGAGCTGTTCTGGTGCCCCCTTATCGAGAACATACCCCTGAACGAATGCCTCCGTGATGGACGAGGCCGATTGGTCCACCAGGGGCCACGCCATGGGCCAACGTGTGAGGTATTCCACCCCACCAAGAGGTATTTGTGTCCCCATTGGGATGTCGGGAATGGTCCCAAAATATCAAGTGCCACGAGCTCATTCACACGGGAAACCCGGATGGACTGCAGGGGGGTCCGATCTTGACCCACTGGGGCCTTCCTCCACGCACAGTCATGGCAACCCTTCAAAATCAGTGCCACATCATCCTCCACACCCGGCCAATAGTAGTCCCGTTTAAGGGTCAAGAGGGTCTTGTGGTAGCCGAGGTGCATAAGCTTCTCGTGAATGGCTCGGGTCAATTTACCTCGTAAGCCAATGGGCACCACCACACAATATCGTTCCAAATGAGCATCCCAACGCACGAGGAGTCCGTCATGCATGGCGACCACTGGGCCAGCCGACGGAGCCGAGCCCCGGGCCTTAGACCCAACCCGGCGTCGCAGCCACAGCAGAGAGGAATCCTCCATCTGCATCTGGGACCATACCTCCCGGGGGAGTCCCAGACCAAAATCCCCAGGTAAATCCCCAGGCAACGCCCCACCCGGAGAGGGCGCCGCGTCGGCTGATGCAACCAACTGGGCCACGGTATCCACTGGGGCCTTACAGCGGCTGGAACCCAGGGCGCAGGCGCACTCGCCCACCGGGGGCCGCCTGGAAAGGCCGTCCGCATTCCCATGCAGAGTCCCCTTCCTGTGGATGACATCGAAGGGGTACTACTGGAGAACCTCGAGCCAGCGTGACAGCTTACCCGAGGGCTGGTCAATTCGGAGGGAATATTGCAGGGCTGCATGGTCGGTCCGGACGGTAAACCGGCGACCATACAGATATGGCCTTTACAATTGGACGAAGAAAACAATGGCCAGCAGCTCCCTCCTGGTCACACAGTACCGCTGCTCAGTGGGGGACAAAACGTGGCTACCGTAGGCCACCACCCACTCCACCCCATCGACAACCTGACCCAGGATGGCCCCAATGCCCGTGTCACTGGCATCGGTGTCAAGGAGGAACGGCCGGGAGAAATCCGGGTACCCCAAGGGCGGCGCATCCGCTAAGGCCGTGCGAAGTGCCGCAAAAGCGGCCTCCTCCTCCTTCCCCTAGCGAAATTTCTGTCCCTTGGCAGAGAGTGCATGTAGTGGCTTCGCAATAGTTGCAAAATCGCGGACGAACTGGCGATAGTACAATGCAAAGCCCACAAAACTACGCACCTCAGCGACAGATGTGGGAGTCGGCCACGTTCAGACACAAGCAGTCTTCTCCGGATCCGTGGCCACACCTGATGCGCTAACAATGTGGCCTAAATACTTCACCAATGGTTGCCGGAGGTGGCATTTCTGAGGTTTGAATTTTAAGCCCGCAGCGTGCACTTTGGCGAACACCGCCTCCAACCGCTGCAAGTGTTCGTCAAACGTACATCCAAAAACGATAACGTCGTCCAAGTAAATCAAACAAGACTCCCACTGCAGCCCCGCCAAGACCAATTCCATGAGTCGCTGAAAGGTGGCCGGGGCCGAATGAAGACCCATAGGGAGCCGATTGAATTGGAACAGCCCCTGGGGTGTGCGGAATGTGGTCTTTGGCCTGGAGGCCTCATCCAATGGTAACTGCCAAAAGCCCGAAAGCAAATCGAGGGTTGAAAAGAACCGCGCACCCGAGAGGGCGTCGAGGGAATCGTCCATGCGAGGCAAGGGATATGCATCGGCCACGGAAGTCGACGCAGAAGCAGAGACTCCCGTCCCGTTTCTTGAGTAGCACGATTGGGGCTCCCCAAGGGCTAGTGGAAGGAGAGATAATGTCTGCCGCCAACATGTCATCAACTGCGGAGCGGACATGATCCTTTTCCGCTGGGCTAAGCGGTGTAAGTTCAGTTGAATAGGAGCCGAGTCACCCGTGTCGATATGATGTTCCAGGAGAGTGGTACGGCCCAAATCGAATTTGCCCTGGCTGAACACATCGGCGAATCTGACGATGAGATCGCGGAGCCGCTGGCGCTCCTGGGAGGACAACGAGGCGTTCTCAATGCACAACGCATCAATCCATGATGCGTCGCCCCCCCCCCCCCCCCCCCCCCCCCCCACCCCCCCCCCCCCCCCCCCCCCCCCCCCCCACGGGCAGTACTCCCACCAGCACCCCTCCCGGCGGCTCAAGGATGCCGGGAGGAGGGCCTGGGGTGGCATGCGCCAACACAGCACCAACAGGGACAGCGATCGGCGCGGGCCCCGAATTTAGGACCTTGCAAAAAACGTTCCTGGCCCGCAGCCACAGCTCTGAAAGCGCCCACCAGCCCGTCGAATCTCGCAAAATAATTGGAAGGAGACAGGAGGATGCCTGCAACTGGGGACACCAACGTCAACGGCCTGCGCAGCCTGAGGGGAAGCAGGATCTGCGACCCGGGTGGAACCGTCACAGATTTTGTGGTCATAGCCCGTACACTGGCAGCCAGGGGAGCTATGACCAAGGGGGACTGCAGGAAATGCAGCCGGTCTCCCGACAGCATCTCCACACACCCCTGGTCGACCAGGATCTGAATGGGCATCTTGGCCAAAAAATCGTTGCCTAATAGGCACGGTACGGCCAGAGTCCTAGAGACCAAAACAGGTCCCCGCAACACAATCTCCCCTATCGCCACAGACGCGACGACATGGCCCAAAATACCGAGGCTACCCCCGTTGGCAGCCACGCACACCCCGCGCACCGGCCGCAACGGCCCCACACTGTGCGGCAGCGACTCGGGCACAATGGTGGCGGACACCCCCGTATCCACCAGGATCCTCACGTCGACCCCCTGCACGCGCCCCACCACGGCCGAGGACCCGACAGCGGCGGCCACAACGTGATGCGCGAGGGCCCGCCACTGACAAGTCCCTCTGGGCCACCCGATTGTCGGGCGCACCCCCGTGTGCCCCGAACCGGAACCCCCAGAGATGGGCCCATGAAGATGGACCCTAACCCTACGAGGTGCCTGAGGAGGAGAGAGCGGGCGTGCAATGGATGCATCGCGACTAGCCTGCTGCCTGGGAGGCTCCGCTGCTGGAGGGACGCCCGCAGGAGGAGAGGCCTTGGAGAAGGCCCCGGGCTCGTTGTTGCACCCCCTCTCAAAGTGGCCCACCTGGCCACAACGAAAGCAGGTGGCCCGCCCCCGGGCCTGCGAACGGTGAGGTCCCGTCCGCCCCGGCCCCCCTGGCCGGCGAGCATACCCACCATCCTTTCGGCGGTCATAGGCCGCTGCGGCCATGAGGGCATCCTCCCCGCTGGGCGGCGCCACCGCTGGCGGCGCTGGGGCACCCACGCACGCCGCCATCACTGGAGGCCGACGCAGCGCAAGGTGGGCCTGAATATTTTGCGCGACGGCCAGCGAAGTGGCCTTGGCCCCTACCCCGATGGACATAACAATCCCCAGCTCCAATGCGAGGACCAGCAGCCTCTCCAGGACCAGGGAGTCCAGCGCAGTTCCTTTTACGTCGGGATATGCGGCCCGAGCCAATTCAAGGAGGGAGCAGCAGAACGCAAGAGGCGACTCCCCTTCCTCCCTGCGGCGCGCGGTGAACTTGAGGCGCGCTTTGTCGGGCGGCTCGAGCACCTCGGCCATCTGCTGATAGGCCGACTGCAGCGTCGTCTTCTCTGCCGGTGGGATGTTCAGAAAGGTGTGCAGTGCCCTATTGTCCAAGCATGTGGGCAGTGCAAGCAGCGCCTCTTCTTCCGGCCAGTGCACGGACTGATAGGCCGCATCAAACCTGGCCTGGAAATCTAGCCAGTTCCCCTTTGTGGACACGAACGGCGCCACAGGGGGCAGCCATCACAGCCGAAGGTGAGCCGACCCAACCCCCGGCCCAGACTCACCCACAGCAGCGATCGCTGGCGTCGCAGCGGCCGCAGCTGACTCGCCCGAACCCGGGGCCCTGGCAGGCTGCGGGCATATCGCCCCCCGTCCCGCGACCGCCGCCTCCCCCGCAGCTTCCCCCGCCGCCCCGGCTCGCAGCGTGGCAGGTGTCATGGCGGCGACCTGTGGCGTCGCGTAATCCATGGTGGCGCCGGTGACATCGCAGAAAAAATGGCGCCCGCTGGCGGCGTCGCAGAAAAAATGGCGGCGCCCTGTCCCGCTGCGGTGGTTGGTGAATTGGCGCCAACCGGGAGTTCGGCGGGAAGCGCGGCCTCGGCAACGTTGTGATGGCCGTGCCCCCCATCGCCCCCGCGTGTGTGCGCACGCCCACCTCGAGCACCTCCACGGGGCGTATATCCGGGGCGACGACCTCCAGGGTCTTCACCAGGGCCGCGTCACCGTCTTCCCCTTTGTGCGCCGGTACACCAGGCACGGTCTTCCCTCTCGCGCCAGATTTGGACATGGTCGCAAGCACAGAAGCCACTTCTGACACCAGAAGTGGCTTCCTACACACTAAGCCATTTCGGTAATTCTATAATCTGTCCGGTGGATCTGTTGTTACATTTGTTGTGTAGTAAATGACGACACGAAGGCAGATGTTGGCGGGGCTGACGCCAACAGTTTATTAAGGGCTGTCGCCTAGCTTTTGGGGAAGGGCTAACACAAGACTTGGGTAAGCTAAATCTCCCCAGGGGAAAGGGTACTGGGAATCTCTACGACTCCCAGGCTAACATGCTCTTCCCACTGCGCTGACCGATGGGTTATCCAACTCGGCCAGCCGGGTGAAGTAGCCCCCCTAGCCTGGAGCTCGTTGTCCCCTACCCTGGGTCCCCACTTCCCTACCGCTCACGAACCCGGCTCCTGGCGAAGACCCCCTCTACGTCACCGGTCCCCCCTCAAATACCCCGAGGGGACATGACGTCACTCCTCCCGAGGCGAGTGTGACATTCCGTCATGCCTCTACTCCTCAACACGTTTATGCCTTTGGAAATAATAACTGTTTGATCGTCTTTTTATATGAATACCATTGCATGTTAATCAATTGCCTGTGGCACTGTGCTGACGATTCCAAGCATAATAATCGTTCAAATTATAATGCATAAGGTTTTTGTTAGAATAGCTTGCAAGCATGTTTTAATGACTCTCTCTGTCACTAACAACAATCGCTTTATGCGGGATCAATGTGTCGTTCTCAAAGTGAAATCGTACAGTCGTTGATGATACTGTATTGATATCGTGTTGAAGTTCCGAGATTGAGAGTTCACATACTATTTTATAGTTAAGGTTTAATTAGAAAATAAATTGATTCATGCAGAAGTGGTTGTGTGATTCTGTCCTGAAATTTCTGCATAAGATCTGTATCCTGCGATGAGATATGAACCAGAGGACAAAACATAAACGCACTAATCCATACTTAGTAAATGTTAAAGCGAGAATGATATGAACTTGGGACCTAAAATATAAACACACTAAATCCACTCAATAAACGTTAAAGTGAGAATAATTGCATGACACTGATCGATAATACGAGGGGAGACAACGAAGCCGGGTTGACACTAGCATAACTGTATACGACTTGATTGCATTTATCCCGATTGATAACCCCACCTCGTCAACGAGGCGGGGCCTGATTATCATTAAGGCTGGCATTAACATAACCACACCCACTCGTATAAATTAATACGATTACCTCTCGAATTTGCATAATTGTACGCATAATTACCCAAATTAACATAATTTCGGATGATTATGCAAATATGAAATCTAATTAAATTTTCATTATTTTTCATCAATTTTCACACACCCACATATACAACGAAACCGCTGTCATCGCACCAGCACCACGGTGCATCACGTGGCACCGTCTAGTTTCTACCTCAATGCTGTCATCACACCAGCACCACGGTGTGTCACGTGGCACCGTCTAGCTACTACCACTACCACACCGCTGTCATCGCACCAGCACCACGGTGCGTCACGTGGCACCGTCTAGCCACTACCACTACCACACCGCTGCCATCGCATCAGCACCACGGCGTGTCACGTGGCACCGTCTAGCTACTACCACTACCACAACGCTGTCATCACACCAGCACCACGGTGCATCACGTGGTACCGTCTAGCTACTACCACTACCACACCAGTTGTGGTGGTGGTTGTGGTGTTGGTTGTGGTTGTGGTGGTGGTTGCTGTGGTGGTGGTGGTTGTGGAGGTGCTTGCGGTAGTTGTTCTGGTGGTTGTTTTGCTGCTGGTTGTGGTGGTTGTTGTGGTGGTAGTTGTGGTGGTGATTGTTGTGGTGGTTGTTGTTGTGGTGGCGGATGTGGTGGTGGTTGTGGAGGTGGTTGTTGTTGTTGTGGTGGTGCCTGTGGTGGATGTTGTGGTGGTTATGGTGGTTGTTGATGTGGTGGTTGTGGTGGTTGTTGTGGTGGTTGCTGTTGTGGTGGTGGTTGTTGTGGTGTTTGTGGTGGTTGTTGAGATGGTGGTTGTGGTGGTTATAGTGGTGGTTGTGGTGGTGGTTGCTGTGGTGGTGGTTGTGGTGGTGGTTGTGGTGGTGTTTGTGGCGGTTGCCGTGGTGGTTGTGGTGGTGGTTGTGGTGGTGGTTGTTGTGGTGGTTGTGGTGGTGGTTGTGGTGGTGGTTGTGGTGGTGGATGTTGTGGTGGTTGTGCTGGTTTTCGTGTTAGTTGTGGTGGTGGTTGCTGTGGTGGTGATTGTGGTGGTTGTTGTGGCGGTAGTTGTGGTGGTGAATGTTGTGGTGGTTGTTGTGGTGGTTGTGGTGGTTGTTGTCGCGGTTGTGGTTGTGATTGTTGTGGTGGTTGTAGATGTTGTGGTGGTTGTTGTGGCGGTTGTGGTTGTTGTTGCGATTGTTGTGGTGGTTGATGTGGTTGTTGTCGTTGTTGTGGTGCTGGTTGTGGTGGTTGTGGTGGTTGTTGTGGTTGTTGTGGTACTGGTTATGTTGGTGGTTGTGGTGCAGGTTGTGGTGGTTCTTGTGGTTGTTGTGGTTATTGTGGTGGTTGTTTTGCTGGGTTTTAGGGTGGTTGTGGTGGTTGTTGTGGTGGTTGATAGGGTGGTGGTTGTCGTGGTGGTTGTTATGGTGGCGGTTGTGGTGGTGGTGCTGGTTGTTGTGGAGGATGTAGTGGTTGTTGTGGTGGTTGTGGTCGTGGTTATTGTGTTGGTAGTGGTTATGTTGGTGGTTGCTGTGGTGGTGATTGTGGAGGTGGTTGCGGTGGTTGTTCTGGTGGTAGTTGTTGTGGTGATTGTGTTAGTTGTTGTGGTGCTAGTTATGGTGGTGATTGTTGTGATGGTTGTTGTGGTGGTTGTGGTGGTTGTTGTGGCGGTTGTGGCTGTGATTGTTGTGGTGGTTGTAGTTGTTGTGGCGGTTGTTGTAGCAGTTGTGGTTGTTGTTGCGATTGTTTTGGTGGTTGTTGTGGTGCTGGTTGTGGTGCTGGTTGTGGTGGTTGTTGTGGTTGTTGTGGTGCTGGTTGTGGTGGTTGTTGTGGTTGTTGTGGTGCTGCTTGTGGTGGTGGTTGCTGTGGTGATGGTGGTTGTGGTGGCGGTTGTGGTGGTGGTTGTGGTGGTGGTTGTGGTTGTTGTGGTGGTGGTTGTGGTGGTTGTGGTGGTGGTTGTGGTACCGGTTGTGGTGGTTGTTGTCGTGATGGTTGTGGTGGTGGTTGTGGTGGTGATGATTGTTGTAGTGGTTGTGGTTGTTGTTGTTGTTGTGGTTATTGTGGTGGTTGTTGTAGTGGGTATTATGGTGGTTGTGGTGGTTGTTGTGGTTGTTGTGGTTGTTGTGGTGCTGGTTGTGGTGGTTGTTGTGGTGCTGCTTGTGGTGGTGGTTGTGGTGGTGGCGGTGGTTGTTGTCGTGGCTGTGGTGGCGATTGTGGTCGTTATGGTTGTTGTGATGATTGTTGTGATTGTTGTTGTGTTGGTGGTGCTTGTGATGGTTGTTGTGGTGTTTATTGAGGAGGTGGGTGTGGTTGTTGTGGTGGTTGTGGTGTTTGTTGTGGTGGTGGTTGCTGTGGTGATGGTGGTTGTGGTGGCGGTTGTGGTGGTGGTTGTGGTGGTGGTTGTGGTTATTGTGGTGGTGGTTGTGGTGGTTGTCGTGGTGGTTGTGGTGGTGGTTGTGGTACCGGTTGTGGTGGTTGTTGTGGTGGTGGTTGTGGTGGTGATGATTGTTGTGGTGGTTGTGGTTGTTGTTGTGGTTATTGTGGTGGTTGTTGTAGTGGGTATTATGGTGGTTGTGGTGGTTGTTGTGGGGGTTGATAGGGTGGTGGCGGTTGTAGTGGTTGTTGTGGTGGTGGCGATTGTGGTGGTGGTGTTTATTGTGGTGGTTGTTGTTGTAGTTATTTTGGTGGTTGTTGTGGTGGTTGTTGTGGTAGTGGTCGCGGTTGTGGTGGTGGTTGTGGTGGTGGTTGTTGTGGTGGTTGTCGTGGTGGTTGTGGTGGTGGTTGTTGGGGGAGTGAGCGTGGTGACGTCACCACGTCCATGACGCAGCAGCATCAGACGACTTGAACAGCTGGGACATTAAATTTTGATTTAAAGCTTTCGTGACTGCAGTAATTCATATTCTTAGTTTTTTCGGTAAAGTCACGTTGAAGAGAAACAACAAAATAACAAAATATATATAAAACAATAAAAAATTCTCACGACGTTTCGACCATAACTCAAACGGTCATCATCAGGTGTGTCGGTTTGCATAAATTTATTTTGAAAACGGCATATTTATTTATTTATATAAAAAATAACGTTTGCGTCACGCGCAACGATTGGCTGTTTGCCAGGACTAGTCCATATATTTTTTGAAAAGAGGAGGGGGGAGACGAAATTTGTTTTTATGTATGCTGTCTGAAAGGCACTGTAAGCGTGAACAATCAATCAAGAACTGAAATGATTTATCAAATCTTTCCAATGATTGCTAAGATAGAATCCATCTTCTCGGTTGAAATTGTCTCTGTGTTTGTATATGTGGATAGCCTCATGAACGAATCTCTCATGGAAGCCAGATGGCTTACAAAGAACCTCCGTCTTGGAAAAGTCAATGGCATGTGAGCCATATGGCTTCCATGAGAGATTCGTTCATGAGGCTATCCACATATACAAACACAGAGACAATTTCAACCGAGAAGATGGATTCTATCTTAGCAATCATTGGAAAGATTTGATAAATCATTTCAGTTCTTGATTGATTGTTCACGCTTACAGTGCCTTTCAGACAGCATACATAAAAACAAATTTCGTCTCCCCCCTCCTCTTTTCAAAAAATAGATGGACTAGTCCTGGCAAACAGCCAATCGTTGCGCGTGACGCAAACGTTATTTTTTATATAAATAAATAAATATGCCGTTTTCAAAATAAATTTATGCAAAGCTGGGACATTGTTGGCGCCTTTTGTATTCGGCGCCGTCTCTTTATTTGTTTATTAATTTGTAGATTTCATTTGCTCGGCAGTGGCTGTGTAGAGGGTTTGCTCCTCGTGTTTAATTAATGAACAGTGAGCACGAATGACGCTGTACACAACTACATTGTTGTTGTTTTTTTGTGTTCTGTAATTTTATTGTAGAATCGACGATACAAGCGTTACAATGCCACTGTCGTACGCATACATTTATACATTTTAAAATCATTAATATTATTGTTTTGACTTAAAACTTTTCTTGACTGATGACGACCACTTGTGTTGCGATCAAGACGTCATGAGTTTTGGGTTTTTTATTTGTATTTTTTATTTAGTGTTTATTATTTTTATTTTTTTATCTTTGTGACTTTACCGACGAGGGTGGTGAAGGCCGAGCGTCGTGGCGTCTGCCCTCTGCGCTGTTCACGTTCACCTCTCTCAGGACGCACCACTCAGATCCACAATCCTCACTGAGTCACCATCCTCCCACCCCACCGCCAGCCCAGGGTGTAAGGGCTGAGTGAATGTTTGATTAAACGAGTGCATTGGCGCCATGGAGTCGGCGCTGTAAAACGACAGCAGCCCCGCGTCCCAGTCCAGGTGGACCCCGACTCTCCGCGGAGGCTGCGGCACCGACAGTGGCGTCTCTACCCCGCCATGCAGCACTGAGAAGCTGTCGACATCTTTCCGTAGACACCAGGAGACTTCACTCCCTCCCAGGCCGCACACAGCACCACGCCCTCTCCGTGGGATCGTCCCGTACGCGACTCCCACCCGACACCGCCTCGCGCTCCCCACGTCCACCTCCCAGTAGTGTTGACCCGACGAGAAGTTCTCAGAGCACAGGGCTTGTGGCCAGCACTCAAAGCGGTGTGGGTGATGGGGGCGACCCTGGGGGACACCGCTCTGCGTCACGGCCCTGAGATCCGAGGAAATCTTGAGGAGGTCGCAGGCTGAGTTAGTGTCCAGAGTCGGTGAGCGTCCATCTGTGGTGAGTATTCGTGTAGACATACTAATATTAGAATTAGTGTACACATACTAATATTAGTTAGTATAAGTGTACACATACTAATATTAGTTAGTATTAGTGTACACATACTAATATTAGTTAGTATTAGCGTACACACGCTAATATTAGTTAGTATTAGTGTACACATATTAATATTAGTTAGTATTAGTGTACACAAACTAATATTAGTTAGTATTAGTGTACATATACTAAAATTAGTTAGTATTAGTGTACACATACTAACATTCGTTAGTATTAGTATACACACACTAATATTAGTTAGTATTAGTGTACAAATACTAATATTAGTTAGTATTAGCGTACACATACTAATATTAGTTAGTATTAGCGTACACATACTAATATTAGTTAGTATTAGCGTACACACGCTAATATTAGTTAGTATTAGTGTACACATACCAATATTAGTTAGTATTAGCGTACACACGCTAATATTAGTTAGTATTAGTGTACACATACTAATATTAGTTAGTATTAGTGTACACAAACTAATATTCGTTAGTATAAATGTATACATACTGCTAATCACTTGTGAATAATAATAATAAATCATAATAGCACTACACTAACTTTGTGTGTGTGCAGTGGTAGTGAAGAGTGGTGATGATGCCAGCGCCACGATGTTGACACCACTCTCACACCCACACACAGACATTGTGTGTCACAGCCTCGCACACTCTCACACCCACACACAGACATTGTGTGTCACAGCCTCGCACACTCTCACACCCACACACAGACATTGTGTGTCACAGCCTCGCACACTCTCACACCCACACACAAACATTGTGTGTCACAGCCTCGCACACCCTCACATCCACACACAGACATTGTGTGTCACAGCCTCGCACACTCTCACACCCACACACACAGACATTGTGTGTCACAGCCTCGCACACCCTCACATCCACACACAGACATTGTGTGTCACAGCCTCGCACACTCTCACACCCACACACAGACATTGTGTGTCACAGCCTCGCACACTCTCACACCCACACACAAACATTGTGTGTCACAGCCTCGCACACTCTCACACCCACACACAGACATTGTGTGTTACAGCCTCGCACACACTCACACCCACACACACAGACATTGTGTGTCACAGCCTCGCACACTCTCACACCCACACACAGACATTGTGTGTCACAGCCTCGCACACTCTCACACCACACACAAACATTGTGTGTCACAGCCTCGCACACTCTCACACCCACACACAGACATTGTGTGTTACAGCCTCGCACACACTCACACCCACACACACAGACATTGTGTGTCACAGCCTCGCACACTCTCACACACACAGACATTGTGTGTCACAGCCTCGCACACTCTCACACCCACACACAGGCATTGTGTGTCACAGCCTCGCACACACTCACACCCACACAGACATTGTGTGTCACAGCCTCGCACACTCTCACATCCACACACAGACATTGTGTGTCACAGCCTCGCACACTCTTACACCCACACAAAAACATTGTGTGTCACAGCCTCGCACACTCTCACACCCACACACACAGACATTGTGTGTCACAGCCTCGCACACTCTCACACCCACACACAGGCATTGTGTGTCACAGCCTCGCACACACTCACACCCACACACACAGACATTGTGTGTCACAGCCTCGCACACTCTCACACCCACACACAGACATTGTGTGTCACAGCCTCGCAAACTCTCACACCCACACACAGACATTGTGTGTCACAGCCTCGCACACTCTCACACCCACACACAGGCATTGTGTGTCACAGCCTCGCACACTCTCACACCCACACACAGACATTGTGTGTCACAGCCTCGCACACTCTCACACCCACACACAGACATTGTGTGTCACAGCCTCGCACCCTCTCACACCCACACACAGACATTGTGTGTCACAGCCTCGCACACTCTCACACCCACACACAGACATTGTGTGTCACAGCCTCACACACTCTCACATCCACACACAGACATTGTGTGTCACAGCCTCACACACTCACACCCACACACAGACATTGTGTGTCACAGCCTCACACACTCACACCCACACACAGACATTGTGTGTCACAGCCTCGCACACTCTCACACACAGCCATTGTGTGTCACAGCCTCGCACACTCTCACACCCACACACACAGACATTGTGTGTCCACAGCCTCGCACACCCTTACACCCACACACAGACATTGTGTGTCACAGCCTTGCACACTCTCACATCCACACACAGACATTGTGTGTCACAGCCTCGCACACCCTCACACCCACACACAGACATTGTGTGTCACAGCCTTGCACACTCTCACATCCGCACACACAGACATTGTGTGTCACAGCCTCACACACTCTCACATCCACACACAGACATTGTGTGTCACAGCCTCGCACACTCTCACATCCACACACAGACATTGTGTGTCACAGCCTCGCACACTCTCACACCCACACACAGACATTGTGTGTCACAGCCTCGCACACTCTCACATCCACACACAGACATTGTGTGTCACAGCCTCGCACACTCTCACACCCACACACAGACATTGTGTGTCACAGCCTCGCACACTCTCACATCCACACACAGACATTGTGTGTCACAGCCTCGCACACTCTCACACCCACACACAGACATTGTGTGTCACAGCCTCGCACACCCTCACATCCACACACAGACATTGTGTGTCACAGCCTCGCACACTCTCACACCCACACACAGACATTGTGTGTCACAGCCTCGCACACTCTCACACCCACACACAAACATTGTGTGTCACAGCCTCGCACACTCTCACACCCACACACAGACATTGTGTGTTACAGCCTCGCACACACTCACACCCACACACACAGACATTGTGTGTCACAGCCTCGCACACTCTCACACCCACACACAGACATTGTGTGTCACAGCCTCGCACACTCTCACACCCACACACAAACATTGTGTGTCACAGCCTCGCACACTCTCACACCCACACACAGACATTGTGTGTTACAGCCTCGCACACACTCACACCCACACACACAGACATTGTGTGTCACAGCCTCGCACACTCTCACACACACAGACATTGTGTGTCACAGCCTCGCACACTCTCACACCCACACACAGGCATTGTGTGTCACAGCCTCGCACACTCTCACACCCACACAGACATTGTGTGTCACAGCCTCGCACACTCTCACATCCACACACAGACATTGTGTGTCACAGCCTCGCACACACTCACACCCACACACACAGACATTGTGTGTCACAGCCTCGCACACTCTCACACCCACACACAGACATTGTGTGTCACAGCCTCGCAAACTCTCACACCCACACACAGACATTGTGTGTCACAGCCTCGCACACTCTCACACCCACACACAGGCATTGTGTGTCACAGCCTCGCACACTCTCACACCCACACACAGACATTGTGTGTCACAGCCTCGCACACTCTCACACCCACACACAGACATTGTGTGTCACAGCCTCGCACCCTCTCACACCCACACACAGACATTGTGTGTCACAGCCTCGCACACTCTCACACCCACACACAGACATTGTGTGTCACAGCCTCACACACTCTCACATCAACACACAGACATTGTGTGTCACAGCCTCACACACTCACACCCACACACAGACATTGTGTGTCACAGCCTCACACACTCACACCCACACACAGACATTGTGTGTCACAGCCTCGCACACTCTCACACACAGCCATTGTGTGTCACAGCCTCGCACACTCTCACACCCACACACACAGACATTGTGTGTCACAGCCTCGCACACCCTTACACCCACACACATACATTGTGTGTCACAGCCTTGCACACTCTCACATCCACACACAGACATTGTGTGTCACAGCCTCGCACACCCTCACACCCACACACAGACATTGTGTGTCACAGCCTTGCACACTCTCACATCCGCACACACAGACATTGTGTGTCACAGCCTCACACACTCTCACATCCACACACAGACATTGTGTGTCACAGCCTCGCACACTCTCACATCCACACACAGACATTGTGTGTCACAGCCTCGCACACTCTCACACCCACACACAGACATTGTGTGTCACAGCCTCGCACACTCTCACATCCACACACAGACATTGTGTGTCACAGCCTCGCACACTCTCACACCCACACACAGACATTGTGTGTCACAGCCTCGCACACTCTCACATCCACACACAGGCATTGTGTGTCACAGCCTCGCACACTCTCACACCCACACACAGACATTGTGTGTCACAGCCTTGCACACTCTCACATCCACACACAGACATTGTGTGTCACAGCCTCGCACACTCTCACACCCACACACACAGATATTGTGTGTCACTCCGCTGCTGGATGAGCGCCTCCCCACGCCGTGCGCGTCCTAGGGGGTTATTTGACCATACTTCACTGCTCTCGTCGGTGCGCATTGGCGATGGTGTGGATCGTGAACGTAGAAGCATGGAGGTGCAGTACAACAATGGTTCACGCTGCACTGCCCTTTGCTGGTGTGCTGTGTAAACATTCGGCACGAGGGAGACAAAGGTGACCGGGCGTGGTGCTGGCCACCCACTCCCTCGTGTGCCGTGCCGTCCTTCCTAGGTGCTGCTGCTCGCTAATAGCACTTGCCCCAGTACCCAGCAGTAGGGTTTAGAAGAATATTTAAACTGTTAAACTTATTTTATTTCAGAAGGTAGAGCCCACTGATCCATGTCGCTCTCTTTCAGAGTCTGCGTCTCTCTCCCCGTGGTAGCGTGGATTTTTGTCTGGCTACTAGCGTTTTTCCCTCTACGTTTAGAATCAATTTGCATTCAGAGGATTTGGTTGCTGCTGTAAATATCCACGTGATGAGCCACTTCGTAGAGCTGTCATTTGTGATAGTCAGGTCGCTTCCGAAAACAGAGCGACAAGGTTCAGTGGTTTCCTTACCTGGTGAAATAAAATGTTGTTGAAGGTGGGGAGCACAGAAGTGCAGTGCAACAGAGCGGGACACGCGGGTGCAAGACTGAGGAACTCACAAGCGAAAGGCAGGAATCTGTTCACGACCATTTCAAGGGAGCGGATCGTGGTGGCGTCCAGTGAAGTGGGAGGTGGGGGTGCAGATTCCTTTGAGATCTCTCTCCTGGGACAACCACCAACAGCATCACACACAACCTCGTTTAACCACAGCATTGGAATACTCAGCAGCCATAGCCCACACAGCAATGTTCTAACACGCAGCCCCTGTCTCACACACAGCCCGTGTCTCACACACAGCCTGCATGTCTAAAACACACAAACACACCCTGTCTAAAACACAAAGCCCGTGTGTCTAACACAGACAGCCCGTGTGTCTAACAGACAGCCCGTGTCTCACACACAGCCTGTGTTTCACACACACCCTGTCTCACACACACCCTGCGTCTCACACACAGACCGTGTATCTAACACACAGCCCGTGTGTCTAACACACACAGCCCGTGTGTCCAACACAGACAGCCCGTGTGTCTAACACACACATCCTGTGTTGTGAGTGTTTAATCGTGAGGCATTGAGGATCTGTACCTGCGCGTCTCCTCCAGGTGCCCCTGTGGAAGAGAGAGAGATCATGAGTGACGTCTCTAACCTTGCACCACGAGTCCCTCTGCCACTGCCCGCTCTGTTGTTCTGGACACCCAAACGGCGTCTCCACAGAGGCGCTCCCCACCTGCAGAAAGGCGAGCGAGTCCCTCTCGTGCTGCAGGTTGCTCAGGCGAGCGGCCGCTGCCTGGAGCTCCCCGATCTCCTGCTTGTGACGAGCGATGTCCTCGTCGATCCGGGACAGCAGCTCGCGCTCCTTCACAGCCACGCGTTGGAGAACCTCCCTCTCGTCCTCGTCCAGAGCCTTCTTTAGGCGGGCGAACTTGCCCGTGATGCGACCCCTGATCCCGGCCACCGATTCCTGCGGAGACGAGAGGACCACGGTTGGCCCCCTGAGCCATGAGCCACTCCGTGTGTGCGTGTGGACGCCGTGGTGGCAAGGAGATGTTGACTCCCTCGCCTGGTATACAGCAGGTCGGGGTTCGATCCTGATACTTGTATATTTGGAGTTTGGTCTCTCTGTAGTCATATGGATTTTTCTCCGGGTCCCCCTGTTTTTGCCTCCACATTTATGGTCAATGTCGCGCGTTTAGAGTATTTGGCTGCTATCAAAATCCACGTTACAATCAACCGCTTTGTTGAGCTATAATTTATAGTAGCCAGGTCGCTTCTGAAAAAAAGAACTACGTAGCTCAGTGGAGCCGTTCCTGGTAAAATAAAAATTAGTTTAGTCTATGGGTTTCTACGGGTCTCTATGCCTCTCTCAGGGTATCTCTATATGTCGCTGTTTATCTGTGTGTCTCTATGGTGTCTAGGTATCTCTATGGGGCTGGTATGTATATGGGTGTCTATGGATCGATATGGGTCACTATGTATATTTTGCTGCTGCTATATATTTCCACATGATAATGGTGATATCAGCAATTTCGTTGATCTGTAATTTGTGATATGCAGGTTGCTTCTGAAAAAGAGCTACACAGCTCAGTGGGCTTTACCTGGTAAAATAATAAAATAATATTCCCTAGTAGTGAATCATGCCCCAGTGACGAGGCGCCCATGGGACTGAGTCGATCCATTCCAAGGGGGCAAGAGGGGTGCTACTATTTTCTTGTTTCTCCCCTAGAGGGCGCTGGGGTCGTGGATGTTGAGACTCAGGTACTCGGAGTCCGGTGGAAACCCCCTCGTGGGTTCGACGAGATGTGGCGAGATGTTAACTACCTCGCCTGGTGTGCAGGGAGTCGTGGGTTCGATCACGACGATAATTCCTTCTGCATATTTGGAGTCTGCGTCTTTCTCCCTGTGGTCGCGTGGTTTTTTCTCCGAGTTCTGTGGCTTTTCCCTCCAAATTTAGAATTGGAGTAATCCAGGCCAGGTTTTCCCATAAGTCCGACTCGAGTTTATAATGCAAGGCATTTGTTATCTGTTGTGCACAACCCACAGTGCCCAAGACAGCATCTCCGGGTTCAAGCAAGCGTTTAGAGTACAGTATTTAGAGTATTTGGCTGCTATCAATTTCAACTGATAAGCCATTTCATTGAGCTATCATTTGTGATATTCAGGTTCCATCTGCAAAAGAGCTACATGGCACAGTGGGGCTTTAGCTGATGATGATTGCTTGTGCTGTGATCGAAACGTCGTGATTTGTTTATTATTTTTCAATGGTTTTACTTAACAGAACTCTGATGTTTGTCTAGGTCAAATCTTGTAATCAATATTTTATCTACTTCCTGTTGTGCAATCAATTCCAAATTTCCCACACGTACTCAGATCCGGTGACAATGCATGCCTGCATCAATTAATCAATTAATTGGCTCTTTTAAAGCAATAAACATTTTGTATGGACGGCTTATTAATTTAATATCAATTTGTGCAGGTCAAAAACGCCGCGGTCCTTAAACTCTGGAATCGCCTCGCCCAAGAATCAGGCGCCACATGTCTCTTGTTATCAAGTTATCGTCCACTTACCGTTGTTCAATCGAGTTATTTACTTTTTAGTGCATTTTCTTAATAAAAACGTTGTATTTCAAAAACATTTTAAAATGAGTTTATTACTCACTTTTTTGTATTTTATTGTTATTAAAAATATACATTATCTACGTGACTTTACCGAAAGACCCAAATGATAAGAATTCCTTCAGTCATGAAAGCTTTATGTCAAGAAAATTGAAATAGTTTAGTCTATGGGTCTCCATGTATCTCTATGTGTCCCTATGTATCACTATTTGTCCCAAAGTATCTCTATGTGTCTCTATGGGTCTCTATGGGTCTCTATGCATCTCTATGTGTTCCTTTGTATCACTTTTTGTCCCAAAGTATCTCTATGGGTCTCTATATATCTCTATGGGTCTCCATGTATCTCTATATGTCCCTATATATCACTATTTATCTCAATGTATCTCTATGGGTCTCTATGTATCTCTTTGGGTCTCTATGTATCTCTATGGGTCTCTATGTATCTCTATGGGTCTGCTGCTATATTTCACGTGATGATGATGCGAGCCACTTTGCTGAGCTGCTATTGTTTGTGACAGCCAGGGTCACTTCTGAAAAAATCTACACAGCTCAGTGGGGCCTTACCTGGTAAAATAAAAATAGTTGTAGTTTCAATAAACTCAGGGGATGTGATTAGGGATGGCGTGAGGTGCAGCTGAGCGGTGTTCGTGCTTCTGCTTCCGTGCCGGTGCACTACTTCCAGTGCAGCACAACAGCTGCACCACAGCTCAACCCCGACAATCCGTGACAATCTCAACATTTTTTTGCCACAGGAGTTGAAGACGCCATGCCGAGTAACCCGACGTCGCGGCAGACTCGCCGATGCGGTTATCGAATGCCGTAAACGTGCAACCACCTCGTAGTTAATGTTGAGTTTGTAAGTCAAATATAGTTATAGTAAGACGCATCACTGTTATGAAGCTGCACGAAGTTCGCTTGAATTAATTTTTACCTCCACGATTTCCACACTGGGTGGAGGTCACGGGGGTCAAAGAGCCCGGCCCGGACATGGTACCTGCGCCTCCTTGCGAGCGGCCTCCATCCGCTTCACGGACTCCTCCGCCTCCTTCCTCTTCTCCTCCACCGCTCGCGTCTCTTCCCCTACGCGCGTCTGTAGAGAGAGACGAGACGTCACCAGGGGGAGACTCCAGCCCCCTGAGCCACCCCTCACACCGCCCTTCCCTCCACACCGACCCCTCTACAGCAAAGGCCCTCATCTCCACGCTGCCTCTCTATAGCGACTGAAACGGGGGCATAGGGAGTGGGCAAGCTGATGCCTCGTTGCAGCAGTAGTCGGTGGGAGCCGTGCAAGCTTGGTGGCCTTACCGACTCGGACCCAAGAGCCCATGTGCCCACATCTGTCTCGTTTAGAAGATAAATTTAATATTATTGTTTATCAGGTGGCTGTGATATTTGTCTCAAATCTCTGTCCACTTAATTTTTTTATACGGCAATTATGTTTGATGAAAGCCTAGGATTTAATACATCTTGAGGCTCTTTCCTGAAATGCAAACCAGAAAATTACCTACACAGGCAGAGAGACAGAGGTTCAAGAGAGCATGAACACACGATAGTTTTTTTTTTAATTATCAGATGTTGTGTAGCCGAGTGACAGAATTGATCAGATAATGTTATGGTGTCTCACTCTGAGGGCCTCACCTTCCGTGTCTCGTGCTCGTCCTTCAGCATGGTGACATCATGTCCTTTGTGTTCTCCTGCGATGGTACAAGATGAGCAAACCAGGCTTCTATCTACTGTGCAGTAGAATTCCAGCTCCCGTTTGTGATTACGGCATCTTCTCTCGTCCAAGCTCGCAGTGGGATCCACCACGGCGTGGTCTCTCAACCTGGGATTCTCCACGTGAGGCCTAAAGTGAGAAAAACAGTAGGACATCTCACATCTCAGGCAGGTCTTCACTGCAGGAGTGTGGCCGTCACCGCAGATGTCACACATGACGACCGCGGCCATCCCGTCTCCAACTCTGAGCTGCTCCACCAGGTTGACGAGGGCCACGTTCCTCCTCAGCTGGGGTCGCACAGGGAAGGTCGCTCGGCACTGCGGGCAGCTGAAGCTGCTCGCCGTCTCCCAGGTGGCATCCAGGCACTGCAGGCAGAACGAGTGTCCGCAGCTCAGCGTGGAGGGGCAGACGAACGTGCCCAGGCAGATGGAGCAGCGCAGCTCACTATCCACACTCTCACTGGGAGTCGCGTACGCCATGACTCATGAGCTTCGTTGGGATCGCTTGCTGTGTGGATGAGAGAGACCCTGGACCAGGACCTCTCTCTTATAGCGACGGTGAAGAAGGAAGTAAAATACTAAAATATTTTCATTGTCGTTACTGACATCACGAGACACTGCTTGGAATGTCAACCCGTGTCCTTGGTGCGCAAACAGCAGCTTCAATGTTAACATTGTTACAGTACACACCTTGACACGAACAAAATGTATCAAAGGAATGTAATATTTTAACAAATATATTAATTTAAAGAAATGAGTTGTTGATGTTGTTAATATAAAATCCGTGAGCCTCAGCTACGGTGGCTCATTCATGAGATGAGTATCGAGAGATAAACTTATCCTTCCATAGCTCAGCGCAGAAGTTGGTGTTGCTGGTAAGACAGAGCAATGGATTGGGTGCCACCGTGGTTATATGTTATTTCGCTCGCCTTACGGCTGTTTTATATTTAAAGTTTGCGTCTTTCTCTCTTTCCCCTTGTTCTCGGGAATTTGTAGCTGGATCCTCCGGTTTACCCTCCACATTTAGAATCAACATCACGCATTCAGAGTATTTGGCTGCAATCAATTTTCACATAAGCCACATCATTGCGCTCTCATTTGTAAAAGCCACTTCGCTTCTGACAGAGCCACATAGCACAGTGAGCCTTACCTTTTAAAATTAAGAGTTTGTGTAGTTGTTGATATCTCATGATGTCCTCTAGTTCCATTTCAGTGTAATTACCCCAACGTGACGAATTGCTTTAATGTTATTGTGGCATCCCATATGGAATTTGTCTGTAGACTCCCGTGACCCATCCTGGAATCTTGAAATGTTTGCTAGCAGTGTGAATATATCACCAACTCTACCTGCCTCCATCACCCACTGCTGGCGATGTCACCATCTCTCACTCTCACCTTGTCCGAGATTGGAGATTCCCATTCCGACTATTCACAGCCACACCCACCACCTATTTCACTTGCGTTGTTGTTTCATATTCGCAGGTACGGCTATTGCACATGCGTCCTCCATCCGTCTTTCTACACCCCCCTCACTAAGTGGTCCGGGCTTTGCTCATCACACCACGATGCCCCTCCAGCGTGTTGAGGCACAGCGTGGTGCGATGTACAAACATCTTGGCAGCTAGACAAAGCCTGATGGCTGCTCTTAAAGGTTTATCAGAAGAACCAGAAGTTAAATTCCCTAAGTCGAGCCCATTGAGCTAACACGTAAATTTTCAAGGGGGTTTTAACTGGCAGACATCATCAAAGCATTCCACAAGTACACAAAAACAAAGATTTCCTGTATAACCTTATCAGATTGTTGTGGCAAGTGCTGTTAGCGAGCACCTACGAAGGTCGGCACTTCACACAAAGGGGTGGGGTGCCCAGCACCACGCCCGGCCGCCTTTGTCTCTCGAGTTTTTACGCACCACACCAGGTAATAATTTGAGGCTGAGTTGACCTAGGGGAGGCCCAGCATCAGTTCAGATAATCGTTATTGGTGTTGGCCGTGAGCGGGAATCGAACCCGGGTATCCAGGTTCATAGAACAGCGCTGGAACGACCACAATTACACACCCACTCACACACACACTCTCCCACGCACTAATACACCCACACACTCATCCACCCTCCCACTCACCTACTCTCACACACACTTCAGAATCAGAAGAATTATAAGTTTACTTCCCTGACGAGAGCCCACTAGGACCCTGCAGATGTGATCAAGTTTGTCTTTGGTGGCTTGGCCCTCCCCAACTCTCTGTCCAGCACGAAAGACCCGGGCAACTAAAATAACAATGTAAATATGAGACGTGTATTTATACGTACGTGTTGAACTTCTTTCACATGGAACGTAGCCAACCGTACTAATCGGAGGTTTATAAAAATACAAACTAAACAGAACAAGTAGCAGTTCTACAGAAATTAATTTGTCAATTTTCATTATTTCAAAGTGCAAAGCTCTGGTAGCTTACTGACTGAACCGGATCAGTCTTGCACTCAGGTGGCAGCGGGTGGGATGCGTTGTGCATGACTTGTACGAGTGGCAGAACTGGCGAGACCTGTATTTCTGTATGGGGGTGGTTTTGTTGCAATCAAGTTGATGGATTGCATTTTGAAGGCATTTCTTTCAATCTCCATGATGCTCATTCTTGGTTTTTTTTGCCATACTTCAATCGGCACCCTGGACACCCTCTCCTGTGCTCTATATATCGGGTCTTGAAAATTTTATAAAAATAAATAAATGGAAATTGAGAAATTTGTAATTTTCCGAAACTATGCAAATTAATGTAATAATGCAAAAATGTATGATATTCATGGAGGTGTAATTGTATTAAGTTATGCAAGTGTATGCGATTATGCTAATGTATGTAATTATGCTCATTACGCTCTGCCTCGTTGTCCAGGGTTGTATTATCAATCGGGATAATACAATGATTCTCGCTTTAACTTTTACTGATTATCAGAATCAGAATCAGAAAGGGTTTTATTCGCCATGAAAGTTCACACAGACACGGAATTTACTTTGGCAGGATGGTGCATACATTAAACATATAAGAATCTAAAATCTTAAATAAGGGGTAAACAAGTCTTACTATAATAATGGTTCAAAGTATAACTAACACCAAGGGGCTAAAGTATATAAAATTGAATAAATATCGAATATAAAATAGCTATAACATACAATATAAAAATTAAAAATACAAAGAGGGTAACATAGTTAATATTGGCAAGGTGTCATTTTGTGGATAAAATGTTAAAGTCAGTGTAAGCACTTGGCCTTGTTTAACAGGCCAGCAGCAGATGGGAAGAAACTGTCTTTATGGCGTGAGGTTTTGGTCCTGATGGACCGCAGCCTTCTGCCGGAGGGGAGTTGCTGAAACAGAGAGTGTCCAGGGTCGGATGAATCTGCCACAATCTTCCTCGCTCGCCTCATGGTCCTCGTGGTGTGCAGGTCCTCGAGGGTTGGTTGATTGCAGGCAATCACCTTCTCAGCAGTGTGGGTGATACGCTGCAGTCTGCTCTTGTCCTTGGCAGTGGCAGCAGCGTACCAGACGGTTATGGAGGAGGTGAGGATGGATTCAATGATTGCTGTATAGAATTGCACCATCATTGTCTTTGGCAGGTTGAATTTCTTCAGCTGCCATAGGAAGTACATTCTCTGTTGTGCTCTCTTGGTGAGGGAGCTGATGTTCAGTTCCCACTTGAGGTCCCGGGAGAAAATAGTGCCCAGGAAGCGGAAGGACTCTACAATTTTGACTGGGGAGTCGCACAGGGTGATCGGGGTGAGTGGGGCTGTATTTTTCCTGAAGTCCACAACCATCTCAACTGTCTTTAGAGCATTTAGCTCAAAGTTGTTCCGGCTACACCAGGTCACCAAGTTGTCAGCTTCACACCTATAGTCAGACTCATCCCCACCAGAGATCAGCCCAATGAGGGTGGTGTCGTCCGCAAACTTCAAGAGTTTGACGGACAGATGATTGGAGGTGCAGCTGTTGGTATACAGGGAGAAGAGCAGTGGGGAAAGGACGCAGCCCTGAGGCGTTCCGGTGCTGATGGATCTGGAGTCAGAGACTTGTGTTCCCAGCTTAACGCACTGCTTCCTGTCAGACAGGAAGTCTGTGATTCACCTGCAGGTAGAGTCGGGCACGTTCAGCTGGAAGAGCTTGTCCTGAAGCAGGGCAGGGATGATGGTGTTGAAGGCAGAGCTAAGTCCACAAACAGGATCCTGGCGTAGGATGCTGGGGAGTCCAGAAGCTGTTGGGTGAAGTGGAGGGCCATGCTAACTGCGTCGTCCACAGACCTGTTGGATCTGTAGGTAAACTGAAGGGGGTCCAGGAGAGGGTCTTAGTGTTTTTCATATCTGGTCTTAAAATTCAGATCTCACCGCAGGATACAGTTCTTATAATTAAGATTATTAAGCATGAACTTAGGAAGGCACCACTCATACTCGTCTGTGTTAAGCAACTTTATTCTGTAAACAAAAACATAACACTCTAATAAGGGAACTCTTATGCTAGGAATGTCACAGGACTCCTGGAGATGTCCTCCTCATTGATCCGTACATTTAACCCTCAATGATCACGTTTTTTAAACTGGGTAACAGAACAATCGGTTAATTCCTCAGAGTAACGCGAGCATGCACGCAAACATTTATTATGAATTTCTCACGCTATATATTAATTGTTTATGGTTGCACTTTATTTTGCCCATTCAGTGTTAGCCGCTGCGGTCGTGACGGGATTTTCTTTGTATTCTTCTTGTTCTATTCCCTTCATGTTCTATTTTTCCAAATTCCCAAAATTACATTGCAAATGATTTCCCTTTTTTTACCAGGTAATAGCCACTGAGCTATTACGAAGGCTTATAATGTGGAAATTTACAGCAGCCAATTACTCTGAGCACTTTTTTATTCTAAATATGAAGTGAAAAACCTGCCGAATCCAGAGAAAAATCCACATGACCAGAGGGAGTGAGAGAACATGCAAACACCAAATATACAGGCGTGAGGGTCGAGATCGAACCCACGACCTCGTGTATACCAGGCAAGGGAGTTAACATCTCACCACCACGGTGAGATTTAATCTCAATTGTGATTGCACACAGCAGCTACAATCATCGCCTGCTACTGGCAGACTCCTGCACCAATTTACGCTTGCAGATGAGACTCATTCTGGTATCTCCAGTTCTCGGCAGGTTAAACCTTGACCTTGAATACCTATTCACGTACCCACCTGGTGACAATCAGAAATACATCAAGGTGGTTACCGAGGCACAGTTTATGAGGAGGGTTCCAACAATATTTTAGGCAGGGGAGAGGTGAAGTTGCCTGAATAGTTCCAGATATTGTGGGTAAAGAGGCTACGAGAGTAGCCACCAACCTAGATTTACGTGGACACCCACAAGTGCACAGACCCATAGAACAGAACGAGTCTCTAAGATCCACTCAGAGGAACCCGTAGACTTGTGGAGAAACTTTGACGAACAATGCAGTGGAGCAGCAGCGCATGCTGGG